CTTGAATAAAAAATGAGATGAGCCTCGCCGAATAAAAAATATAAAATTGCGGGGCCCTCAATAGATATTTATTTTAAAATACTTAGACTTAGGGACGGGCCGTTTAGCCAATTTCACGACCTTCCCCAAAAGATAACAACGCGCAAATCACTTCCGTCGCGCTTTAAATAATTTACTCTCTTAAACTCGGGTACACATTTATGTGGCCCAAATCCAAATCTCAACGAAGTCGAAATGTGTCGCTAATCACGGGTACATTGATTGTGACATGGTTCGAGATGCATTTCCATGACGTTGCAAATTCTTTTAAAAAAAAATAAAAAAAAGGAATGAGACGAGCCTTGATAAACAAGAATACACAAACTGTGGGGCCCTCAACAGACAGTTATTTCAAATGCTTAGATTTCGAGATAGGCCGCATAGCGAACTTTACGGCTTTTCTCAAAATAACAACGCGTTAGTCTTTAGGAGCGTATTTAATAATGTTATCTTCCTAAACTCGGGTGCATATTTATGTGACCCAAATCCAAATCTCAACGAAGTTAGAACGTATCGAAAATTGCGGGTACATTTATGTGGTGCAATTCGAGATGCATTCTCACGACTTTGCAATTCTTTGAATAAATAGTAACAAAAGCGATGAACAGTTAAAATTTGCACATAGGTTCATAATGGTATAAAAATCAGATAATTAAGCCGAATATGACAGTAGAGCGACCGTGCTAGAACCACGGAATTCGGGAATGCCTAACACCTTCTCCCGGGTTAACAGAATTACTTATCCAGATTTCTAGTGCGCAGACTGTTAAACATAGTCATTCTTTTCCTCGATTCGGGATTCAACAGGTGACTTGGGACACAAAAAATCTCCCAAGTGGCGACTCTGAATTAAATAATAAATCTCGTTTCGATTGTCCTTTAATTGGAAAAACTCCCTTTTACGCCCCTTTGCGGGGTGTAGCTGAAAAAGAAGGTATGACAGCTCTGGCAACTCTGCTGGGGACCAAACCTAGAATCTCTGGTTCAGGGTTCAGAATTCGAGCTTAGATAAACTGTTAGATTTGGCTTTATGTGATTTTTTTACATGTTTGGGCTTAATGTGCTAAATGATGCTTTTACCGCTTTGATATTGTCTAAATTGTATATAAACTGTGCCGGAACCCTTCTCTTCTTACCTCCAGGGATGTGCTTACTGGTTGAGACTCCCTATTCTATTAGTGTCATACCCTGAAATAAGAAAGAGGCCGGACAAGTTACAAAGCTGGACGATCCCGCGGGTCCCCGGTACGTTGCCCCCTCCTCGACTCGAGTTGTCCGCTCAGGTACACAGTATATAACAAATACCTAGGCTTTGAACCTAGAATAATGTGACTTCATGCCGGATCCCTAGTAGGAACGATTATTTGCATCATGTTGCATTTGACTTAGGGGACTCAACACAGGGGTTGGGTCCGTTTAGTACTAGCAACCTGAAATGGAAAAGACCATCCTGATGCATCTTACTTGCTACTTGTGCATTTGTTTGCTTCGGACTTGCATGCTGACCGACTTTTGAATATTTTGAGGAAAGAGAGATAGATGTACGAGGGTTAAAAAGAGTTAAATCGCCTGTTTTGAAAAAACTAGTGTCCAAATAGTGTCGAAACTATGCCAAATTTTTGAGAAAATGAAAAAAAAAAAAGAAAAGAAAAAAAAGAAAAAAAAAGGTTTTGTTTATGAAAAAAATAGTTTTATTTGCCAATGAAAAAGAGTCTTGTTTTCAAAAGAAGTTTGTTTTATCGGCCCGAACTACGCCGGTTTGATTCTCACCGGGTGTGAGATACGTAGGCAACCCTCATCGGGTCCAACCTCCCCTTTTGCAAAAATAGCCAAAAATGTTAAATTTTAATTGTCATCATAAATAAATCAGGTGATGCCGTTTTTGTCAAAAATAGTCGAATGTCCCCAAAAGGGACGACGGAAGGCCGATTTTGCATAAATAGCCACCTTTGGTCGTTTTAAGATTTCGATCAGTTAATCCATACAGCCTTAAAATCTGCGTTCTCGAAATGCTAAAAGGTCGTATGTGCGAAATCGGGTTTTTATTTTTATTTTTTGGGAAAAATGTGTGTTAATTTTATTTTGAGTCAAATAAATCTTAAATTTTAAACACCCTAATAAATGTACAGAATGAGCGCAAGTCAGAATTTACACATAACAATAGTGAACAAGATCCCTTTGGAGTTGCACATGTGGTGGGATGATTTGGGCGGATCAGAGCGCGACGCAGTCAAGCTATTCCTAGGAGGCCTCACTGGGTGGCTGAAGATTAATCCTAGGGGGATATCATAAAGGCTTTGGTTACATTTTTTTGGAACACAGCCCAAAATGTATTCCACTTCTCAGATTTTAAACTCACCCCAACCTTAGAAGAGGTAGCAGGTTATATGGACATTACTGAGGGGCTAAGGCACAAATATCAGATTGCTCCAAGAGCCATCGATACGCACCAGTCATGGATCTACTAAAGATAAGAAAGAGAGTCCCGTACTCTGAGTCGGATAAAGTTTTTCTACTCTGCAGTTCATGGGCATATATGAGGGTTCGACGATCCAAAAAGCGGGGTTTGTAGCAAAGGGAATCAGATAAAATGGGATGAACGTAGGCGGTTTGCCTTCATGGTAGCATCCTTGGACATTGTGGTGCTTCTCCGGAAAGACAGAAATATTGATTTAAAGGTGGCAAGAGTCGTCAAAACCCTGAGTACCAGCAATAAAAGCACGCTTGCCCCATGATGGTATCCAAGATGTACCGAGCTCCCACAGCTTGTAAAGACGAGGCAGATTTATTCAAGGGGTACATAAGCGCGAGCAAAGAATACGCGGAAAATAAAGAGGGACTACGAAGGGAACATCGCTATATTGAGAAAAACAATATCCACTCTCAAAGAGCAGATCCTTAGACAAGCCCGAGATGCCAGAACAAATAGGAAGTCCTGCTATGATCTGATGGCCCGGATGGAGAAACAGATGAATGAGTTTCAGGATCAACTCTTTTACAACGCTCAAGTGTTGAGGATGCGGAATCAACAAATAGAGCGATTGCTTATGGAAAGGGACAGAATCAAGGGAAGAATCGACGATATCGGGCACTACATCACCATAAAGTGCCTAGCTTGTGAGGATATGTCCCGTACCACCCTCTTTGCTTCAATAATGATTCACGTCCACCAGATCATGGAAGATTAAAAAGATCTGCAGAGGGGCCTTGCACCAAAACCCGCGGCGAGGCCGAACGACGCCCCGCGGGCGCCAAAATTCAAAACTCTGAGACATTCACAGTTTGAAGTCTATATGTTCCTTGTCTTCAGAGTCGGTTGTCCATTGGAGTATGTATTTCCCTTTTTGCGTAAAGTCTGTAGTCTGTATCGAGTCTGTCAGTTTCCTTTCAAAAATGTGTTGCCTTGTAATAGAACGTTTTGCTAAATTGAAAACTCCAAAAATGGTGTCTTTATTTTTCGTACTTATGGACAGAACTACGCACGGTCTGATTCATGTGGGGACATGATACGTAGGCAATCTTTATAGGATTCGACCACCACTAAAAAAAAGAGGGAAAATGAAAAATAAATAAAGGAGTAAGCTTAAAAGAAGGGGCACAATTATAAGAAGTCGGAATTACACACGTAACTGAAGCAAATGCATGATAGAAAGGGTTAACTGCCTAGGTGCATTGCATCCTCAATATGTGTTTACCTATCTGTCAAATGCCCTAACGCTAACGTGATGGCTCCATTTTGTTATGTTCATCCAGAAAGGTGGTTGGTTGTGATTCTAAAGTAACGCTTCCCCGCAACACAAAGGCAAAAGACAATGGCAGAGAACAACAGAACTGAGTGGGTTGGTATGATGCCNAAAGGAGGAAGCTTAAAAGAAGGGGCACAATTATAAGAAGCCGGAATGACGCACGTAACTGAAGCAAATGCATGATAGAAAGGGTTAACTGCCTAGGTGCATTGCATCCTCAATATGTGTTTACCTATCTGTCAAATGCCCTAACGCTAACGTGATGGCTCCATTTTGTTATGTTCATCCAGAAAGGTGGTTGGTTGTGATTCTAAAGTAACGCTTCCCCGCAACACAAAGGCAAAAGACAATGGCAGAGAACAACAGAACTGAGTGGGTTGGTATGATGCCCGAAAGCAGTTGGTTGAACAGGACTACGGGTTGGTAGAAGAGGTAAAAATGTTGAGACAACATGTGGTAGACATGTATCGGGTATGGATGACTAGGAAAGCACCACCCCCGCCACCACCCAACTTCCTGAACTCTATCCTTACCCAAACACCTAACACAATAACGGACGATCCTCCATACTCTCCATATCTACCCACTTATGACAGTTTTCCCAGCCACCCCAGAAGCTCCATCACTCGTCGTCCAGCTATATTTTTCCAACGCTACTTCTCTCCACGGGACTCCCAAAAACATGCTTCACTCTCCAAGTACCCAGCTCCTCAAAATGCCCATCCACCCCCACGAGCACACCAGAAACCCCCTGGATCAGATTTTAGGCCAAATCAGGCATTTACGAACGAGAGGTTGCTAAAACAAGGAAAGGCTCTCACCCATATCGGAGAATCTTATGCAAGTCTGTTTGAAAGACTAAAGCATGCTGGCCTGATTGAACCGCTCCCCGGATATACTCCAGATCCACATGCAAGAAGCTTTGATCCTACTACACGATACGCATACCATTCTAATGTCCCAGGGCATAGCATTGAGAGTTGTCATTCGTTAAAAAGGGAAATAGAAAGAATGATTCACGAATGAGTGATTGCGATCGACGACAGTAATAAAGAGCATGTGAACCCTCTTAGGATATTGACTAAAGTTGAAGATGTTGAAGCAGATGGTGGTCTTGATGCGAAGCTTAGTGGCTAAGATATCGTGCTTGGTAATTGGGAAGACGTTCCCTTTCTTGGTCAGCCGGAGCGGAGCNGAATGTATGGATATGGTTATCAAGTCTGGCACAATCAGAAGATGTGGAGAATGTTTAATTGTGTCGTTTGTGCTTGGCATATTCTGAAGATTGGAATGACGAAGGTATTTTATTCTGCTATCTAAACACTTTATCCTTCGTTAACCCTTTTCAGCCTTATTGGTTTTCTTTCGTACCCCTCGTTCGGAATCAGTAGCAAAGACTAGAAAACACAAGCATGGAAGATAAAGAAAAAGAAAAAAAAAGAGGAAAAGAAAACAACAGAAATAACAAAACAACAAAATGACAAAGGAGAAAGGAGAAATGAGAAAGAAAAAGAAAAAGAAAAGAAAATAATAAATAAGTGGAAAGGAAAACAAAAAAGGAATTGGGAACTACGTCTGGCCTGATTCCTCAAAGAGGATACGTAGGCGCTTCACTGCTCGGTCATAGTGTAACAAAAAATCAAAAATCCCCAAGCAGAAACTGGGGCAGAAGTTGTGTTTGATGTAAAGAAATTTGGTTCCGAAGGTTGTAAATTTTGACCCAAATTGATTCGTTTTGAGCCGCTAATACCCTTTCTTTCTAGCCCTATCCAAAACCCCACGTTACGGTCCAAAGAAAGACCTTTTGACCAGTCTTCGTAAGATGCCAAGTCATGCAAATGGAAGTCGAGAATAACACTCTCATCCCCGGCAGAAAAGTAATAAAATGAGAGTTTTATTGGTTAAAACCTTTACAGCCCCTTGAGGCGGCTATAAGTTGAGAGAAAAAATCAAAATGAGAGAGGCTTGATAGTGAAAACCCTTCGGGCACTACAAGTCGAATAAAGATTGAGAATCATACAGGAAAGCACCAGACGAAGATTGTGAAAGGCGATTAATGATAGAGGATAGGCCACATGTGCATGTCATGGCCAATAGAGTTGGTATCCACATCTGATAGGTTTTACTTTGTAGTTTTCTTGTTAAGAGTCATCTCTTTCTTTTGCCTTTTACTCTGTTCCTTTTACCTTTGTCATTTCCTCTTCTTGAGTCTCTTTGGTAGAAACAAGCAAGAAATGATTTCAAAATTTGCCATCAGCTTTCCAATTATGCAAGACGAGATCTGACTAGTACATCAAAGTAGTGTAAGTCAGGAAAGAACAAGCGCAATGAGCTGGTAATAGTCAACGTGCTTTGAGGTTCACGCAAAATACCCAAGATTGGTCCATATCAATTCAGGGACAGTGAAACAAAAAAAGGGCCAGGAGGATTGAACCGAGGGTATATTCGATGATGAGATTGACAAAAGGATGAACCAGTGTCAAGAAGGATATCCCCAGCAGAAATCGAGGGTTATAAGGCCAATGCCAGCAGAAAATCAAGAAAGAACAACGCGAAAAGCAATGGACATAATTGAGAAATTCATAGGAGACTCAAAGGTTGGGGAAATGCCAGTTCACGGACAGTACCACAAAAGAAGATATTGGGTCTGCACCGGAAAAAGGTATTTCAGTAACACAGATGATGGAGGGAGTGGTTAATAAATGAACATGCAAGATCTTCAAGTGAAATCAGCTGTCATGAAAATACATGAGGTCAGATAAGAAGACTGGGAAAACGGTTAAGAGGTTTGTGAATAAGGAATCGTCAAGAAGGATGGAAGGTATCAGCCAAGCTTCAAGATGGTCAGACAACGCATAGATGGGAGAATGGTTGATAGCATCCCCAGCAGGAGTATCACAAACCAACCACCACGTTTTAAACTGACCAAATTTTCTTTGATTTAAAGCAGGGACAAGGAATGTTATTGATGACGAAAAGATGCGCCACAAGAAAGATTGTCAAACTGGGGCAGAAAATTTTCGTTCATTTCGAAAATTTTCGAGAAGTCTAACACAAGTTTGGTGAAAAGCGGTATCCCCAACAGTTTTTCGGGAGAAGGCAGAACAAGTTTTAAAGAAAGAAATGTCAGGAGGAAGATAACACGAGTTTTAAGGGAGGTAGTCTTCGAAGGAAGAAGATAACAAAAAAAAGAGAAAAAAGAGGAAGACCAGTTTTGCAAAAGGAATCGGTTTGCAGAGGAATGAAACATCAGTCTTAAGGGAAGTAGTCTTTGAAGGAGTAAGATAACATATTTTTGAAAAAGTGTTATCCCCAGCAGTTCACAGAGAAATGAGACACCAGTTTTGAGGGAAGTAGTTTTGAAGAAAGATAATTCAAGTTAGAAGGAAAATGGTTCAGGAGGTAAGGGGCAACAATGGCGTTTTATTTTCGAAGTTGTTGATTGAAGTCAGGAGCCCGCCTGAAGAAAGGAATGACGTTTTTATTTTCGAAGTTGTTATTTTCGAAGGAATGACGCTTTATTTTTCGAAGTTGTTGTTGAAGTCAGGAGCCCGCCTTAAGAAAGGAATGGCGTTTTCTTTTCGAAGTTGTTGTTGAGGTCAGGAGCCCGCCTGAAGAAAGGAATGACGTTTTTATTTTTTCGAAGATGTTGTTGGAGCCCGCCTGAAGAAAGGAATGGCGCTTTATTTTTCGAAGTTGTTGTTGAGGTCAGGAGCCCGCCTGAAGAAAGGAATGACGTTTTTATTTTTTCGAAGATGTTGTTGGAGCCCGCCTGAAGAAAGGAATGGCGCTTTATTTTTCGAAGTTGTTGTTGAGGTCAGGAGCCCGCCTGAAGAAAGGAATGACGTTTTTATTTTTTCGAAGATGTTGTTGGAGCCCGCCTGAAGAAAGGAATGGCGCTTTATTTTTCGAAGTTGTTGTTGAGGTCAGGAGCCCGCCTGAAGAAAGGAATGACGTTTTTATTTTTTCGAAGATGTTGTTGAAGCCCGCCTGAAGAAAGGAATGGCGCTTTATTTTTCGAAGTTGTTGTTGAAGTTAGGAGCCCACCTGGAGATCGGAATGGCATTATATTTTTAAGTTGTTGTTAAAGTCAGGAGCCCACCTGAAGAGAGGAATGACGTTTTATTTTCTAAGTTGTTGGTTGAAGTCAGGAGCCCGCCTAAAGAGAGGAATGACATTTTATTTTCTAAGTTGTTGTCGAAATCAGGAGCCCGCCTGAAGAGAGGAATAACGTTTTATTTTTAAGTTGTTGTTGAAGTCAGGAGTCGGGGGCAAGGGGAAACAATGGCAATACGAATGCAGTACTAAGTTGTTGTTGAAGTCAGGAGCCCGCCTGGAGATCGGAATGGCGTTATATTTTTAAGTTGCTGTTGAAGTCAGGAGCTCGCCTGAAGAGAGGAATGACGTTTTATTTTCTAAGTTGTTGGTTGAAGTCAGGAGCTCGCCTGAAGAGAGGAATGACGTTTTACTTTTTAAGTTGTTGTTGAAATCAGGAGCCCGCCTGAAGAGAGGAATGGCGTTTTATTTTTAAGTTATTGTTGAAGTCAGGAGCCCGCCTGAAGAGAGGAATGACATTTTATTTTCCAGTCTTAAAGTTGGGAGCCTGCCCGAACTGAGTGGGTTGGTACCGAGTAGGTTGGTACCGACGCCCGAAAGCAGTTGGTTGAACAGGACTACGGGTTGGTAGAAGAGGTAAAAATGTTGAGGCAGCATGTGGCAGATATGTATCGGGCATGGATGACTGGGAAAGAACCACTCCCGCCACTGCATAGCTTCCTGAACTCTATCCTTACCCAAACACCTCACACAATAACGGATGATCCTCCATACTCTCCATATCTACCCACTTATGACAGCTTTCCCAGCCACCCGAGTAGCTCCATCACTCGTCATCCAACTATATTCTTCCAACGCTACTCCCCTCCCCAACGCTACTTCTCTCCACGGGACTCCCAAAAACATGCTTCACTTTCCCATTACCCAGCTCCACAAAATGCCTATCCACCCTCACAAGCCTACCGATAGCCCTCTGGATCAGGTTTCCGGCCCAATCAAGCATTTAAGAATGAGAGGTTGCTGAAAAAAGAAAAGGCTTTCCCCCCTGTTGGAGGATCATATGCCAGTTTGTTACCTTCGGTGATGAGAAATCCACGAGGGACGCTATCGAAGGGATGAACGGCCAAGACCTTGACGGACATAACATCACCGTTAACGAAGCTCAATCACGCGGAAGCGGTGGAGGCGGCGGCGCTGGCGGTGGTTTCCGCGGTGGACGTCGTGAGGGAGGCGGCGGATACGGAGGTGGAGGATATGGAGGTGGAAGATGCGAGGGCGGCGACGATGGTTATGGCGGCGACAGTTATGGTGGTGGCCGTGACCGTGGATATGGCGGTGGTGACCGTGGATACGGTGGTGATGGCGGATCACGCTACTCAAGGGGTGGTGGTGACTCTAATGGAAATTGGAGGAATTAGATAATTGAGAAGATGTGGATTTTAGTTATTTTGATCTCATTTTAAGTTGGTTATATCTTAATGTTAGTGTGACTGTCCTTTTTGACCGCTATTGGCTCGTTACTTTACTGTGTTTTTCTGTTTACCGAGTTCTTATGGAATGAATTAAATGAAGTCTACAAATTATAAAAAAAAGGGGGAAGAAAAGGTTAAAATGTTTGGATAGAAGAAAGAATTGCCTCCGTCATTTCATTCTCCGATAAATGCCAAGTACAAACAAACAACAATTACAATTAAAAGAAATCATACATAATATCTCTTAACTGCGTCAGAATTGATAGCCATGTCGATGCATTTCCCTTCGATATCAGTTAAACATAAAGCGCCATTGGATAACACTCTCGTTACAATGAATGACCCTTGCCAATTCGGGGCGAACTTTCCTTTTGCCTCAGCCTGATGTGGGAGGATGCATTTCAGCACTTGCTGGCCAACTTCAAACTTCCGAGGACGCACCTTTTTGTTGTATGCTCTTGCCATTCTCTTTTGATATAACTGGCCATGACACACAGCTACCAATCTCTTTTCATCAATCAAGTTCAACTGCTCCAAACGGGTTTTGACCCACTCGTCGTCATCAATCTCAGCTTCAGCGACAATCCGAAGGGATGGAATTTCAACTTCCGCCGGTATTACTGCTTCAGTTCCATATACCAACAAATAAGGAGTTGCCCCTACCGAAGTACGGACAGTAGTGCGATAGCCCAACAATGCAAATGGTAATTTTTCATGCAATTGTCTTGAACTTTCTACCATTTTCCGAAGTATCTTCTTTATATTTTTGTTGGCCGCCTCAACTGCTCCA